TTAAGTATTAAACTAACACACACACACACACACACACACACACACACACACACACACAACATCCCATCAAGGGGCTGGTTTTATGAATGGGCTAGACTACGTTCGAGATTCCTGTCAAATGAACTCTTTTATTCAAAATAAAGAAACATTTGTCCTATTTACAACACAATATTTGTTGGAGTTTTAAAAGTTATTTAGAAATTTAAGTTATATTTCAAACTTATGGTGCTATTTTCTTCAAAAGCACCTGAACTGCCTACTATGAAGTGTAGTTTATTCTGGCATGGTTAATAGGTTATGCTTAGTTTTCATGAAGGGTACCCAGAACTTAAACTGAAGTAGTGCAAGGAAACCTTGCCGTAAGATATCCTTATACAATGTTTAGTAGTCATACCCTGGGGACATCTAGTGTATAATAATTCCCAGGAACGGTCAGCTTTGGCTTCAAACCAGTGTCTTAAAACAAACTTAATTTAGCCTGGAAGGCAACGGAACTTGGAAGTGCTACTTACAATCCTATTAGGCATGCAAGAAATAAAACACACTGCAAAAGGCTGCAGATTTTACTGGACTGCAATAGGTTTGTATTGCATTTGTTTTCAACTGGAGAAAAACGAAACATTTGTTTACACCTGCAAATTTGTTCTCTGCATCAAATATTTACAAATCTTGAATGAAACTCCTGGAATTTCAGTTGCGTACCAATAAAATGCTAGCTAGTTACTTGTACGGTCTTAATACACTAATAACTTTGGGGATGGTAAAACTAAATACATCGGGGGAGGGCAAAGAAAGAAAAAGATTGGAAAATCCCACTGGGATATATTTCACATACACTCATTGTTGCATATCCCGGTGGGATTTTCCAATCTTTATTTATATCTCTATAATCTATTTATTAGAGCATAAGCTTTCGTGGGCTACAGCCCACTTCTTCGGATGCATAGAATGGAACATATATTGAGGAGATATATATACACATACAGAGAGCATGAACAGTTGGGAGTTCATGCTCTCTGTATGTGTGTGTATATATATATATCCTCAATATATGTTCCATTCTATCCGAAGAAGTGGGCTGTAGCCCACGAAAGCTTATGCTCTAATAAATTTGTTAGTCTCTAAGGTGCCACAAGTACTCCTGTTCTTTTTGCAGATACAGGCTAACACGGCTGCTACTCTGAAATCTATGTATCTCACTACCAGGAAGGAGGGTTAGGCACCATAAATTTGATGTGTATTTTATTATTCACTTTTGCCTATCACCTGCAGTGAGGTTAGAAGGAATCCTCCATCTGTTCTAGGCTGGGAGATGCAGTATCTAATTTTCCAGAAAATTTTAATTAGGAACATCTAGTCATATTTCATCTGCCACAGTTAGAAGTGACAACTGTGACGACAAAAAAAAAGGCTGATTTGCATTTGTAGAAAGCGAAGGCCATAGGAAGATGAAACAAGATGATTAGTCAGATTTTTTACTTTCAATCCTGTTCAAGACACCTAGGTATCTCCAACAGCATGCAATGTTTTAGGGTGTAGTCTAAGCCAGTGGTTCTCAATCAGAGGTCTAGGGCCCTATGGGGCCTCAAGCAGGTTTTAGGGGGGCCGCCAAGCAGGGCCAGCATTAGACTCGCTGGGGCCCAGGGTAGAAAGCCGAAGGCCCATCGCATGGGGCTGAAGCCCAGGGTTCTGAGCCCTGCTGCCCGGGGCTGAAGCCTGAGCAATGTAGCTTCGCGGGGGCCCCAAGCAACTTCCCCACTTGTTACCCCCTAACGTCGGCCCTGGCTTTTATATGCAAAATACCAGTTATTGTGGTACAGGTGGGCCATGGAATTTTTATAGCATGCTGGAGGGACCTCCGAAAGAAAAAGGGGACCTCTGAAAGAAAAAGGTTGAGACCTTCTGGTCTAAGCCACAGGGATACATAGACTTATTCTGTCATAAATGAAAGAAAAAGTCAAGTGTTTTCAGGAGGCAGAACTATTACAGTCTCAAAGTCAGTTTAAGAGTACAGATTTTTTTAAAGTCATATTAATGATTACTGAATTCACACGTACATTCCCATGCACACGGTCCACAGCAAATACAGTTTCTCACCGTTGTGGTGCTAAACTAATTCAAGGATATATTCCACAGAAGTCTTAACTAATATTTTTTCGACACTTCACAAAATGAGAAAAACGATTTAATTATCTGACTACCCAAGTCCTTAATTAAATATTCTTTTCTGCTTTGCAGAGCAGTTTCAGTAAGGTTGAAACCTGAGAGAAAGCTAGTCCGACAGATAAAACAAGAGAATGAACTGCAGATATCCTGAAAGGCCAACAATTTTAGAATAAAATGATGTTTGTCAAATTGTTTTCAAAGCACTTGCTGTCAAAGTTGAATATTCTTATTACACCACTATCTTGCTTTCTTAGATCTCCTGCAGTTTTGATGACTATCATTTGCAATAAAAAAGGCAGGTTGCTTATCAAAAGATGATAATATTGCAAAAGCTTTCCAACCAGCTACCCTGGATTTGCTTTTGGAAATAGAAAGTATGGAAAAGGAAATCCAGTGGATTAATTTCTGATCCACACAGATGTACTGAGCTTCCACAGAGCTGAGCTCATTAAGCACATGGGAGGCATTAGCATCCTGCCCCTAACTTTATGTAAGAAAACTACACCAGTTCTACGATTGCCAGGGCCTGCAGTAAAGGGTGAAGGATTTGCTCCATAAGGTACAAGTCTTTCCCCAAAGGTATCATTTGGTAGAGTGAGATATGTGGTAAGAAAATCCAATAACCCAGAACAAGCCACAGCACATAATGCGAGCGTATGGTAATTCTGAATACTTTAAGTAAGAAAACGTGACCCAAAAGGGAGTGGGACTCAGAACACCTGGATTCTACCCCTGTCTACCTGCTCAGCTCCTCTTAAAAAAAAAAAAAAAGTGATGTATGTATCACAGTGGACACTCCAAAAGCAAAGCTCCCAAAAATCAGTGGGCACTTTTGAAAATTTCAGCATAACATCTGATCTGCCAGATGGAGTTACTTAACATTGCTTACCCAACTTTGTAAAACGATGTAAGAGAAATATGGATGAAAAAGTGGTATGAACATTTTATTCTATTTAATACAATTAACTTTATGAGGCTGATTTGTGAAGATCCCTCAATTCAGACTCACATCTGGTAAGTGCAGTTTTGTGAATAAAAAAGAAGCATGGGCTTACTTGATATAATTTACACATCTAACTACAGTTGCTGATTTACTAGCACAGGGATAGGCAACCTATGGCATGTGTGCCAAAGGCGGCACGCGAGCTGATTTTCAGTGGCACTCGCACTGCCCTGGTCCCCTGGCCACCGGTCCGGGGGGCTCTCCATTTTAATTTAAATTTTAAATGAAGCTTCTTAAACATAGGGTTACCATACGTCCGGATTTTCCCCAGACATGTCCGGCTTTTTGGTCCTCAAATCCCCATCCGGGGGGCAATTGCCAAAAAGCTGAACATGTCCGGGAAAATACTAGTCCCCTGCTTACCTTAGAGCGGCTCCGGCAGGCTGCGAGCTGCAGGCGGA